AAATTAGTCTTAATATCCAACTATTCTTAGATATTTGGTTTAAAAGTTTTAAATTTTGATTTTGAATGCTTCTAATCAATTTTAATAATATTCATATTAAATATTATTCACTTTTAACAGAATTTAAAAAATAAGATGAAATTATTAGTGTATTAAAAATAATTAATTTTAACCTTCAAGAATTATTTACGCTGTGTTAAAAGTTTGAAGTTATTTTTTATTGTTTTTGGTGCATCTAGTGACGTAACTAAAAAGAATTTTCAAAACTTTTCAATTTTTATAAATGTAAAAGAGTATAAGAATTCGTTTATAATTTTTACTTTTTATTATGTTTTTACTTATTTGGATGTTAATTTATTTAATAGTTATACTTTCTATTTGATGTTAAAATATTTTTACATTATCTTATATATTTAATAATAATGTTAAAAATTGATCAATCCAACTGAACCACATCGATCAAATTTAAATTAAATTGATTTAGTTATCATATAATAATATATTAAATTAATTTAAAAATTTTATTAATCAATTAAATTAAATTAATTTAAAAAATAATAAAATCAAAACCAATTCACATCGCCAACGCCCCTTACTAGCACTAGCACTGCTCTTTGCAAGTTTGCAACTTGGTTTGAATGAGTCTTAACTTTTGTTTGTGTGTTTTGGGGAGAAGAAGAGGACAAGAGGTAGGATACCTAGGGTGAAGAGAAGAATTTTCTATTTGTAGTTTCGTACAATTTTACCGAAAAAAATAAAAGTTAATTTTAATTATATTAATCATTTAATTAAATTATTTTAAAGTAATATTAATTTTAAAAATAAATTTTATTTTTATAATTTTTATATAAATTAATAATAAAATATATAATAAATATAATCTATCTTTATACCCACGAAAACCCAGGAAGACAAGCAACAATATTTAGTCTTTGGGGATTTGATGGAAAGGGGAAAGTGTTTGGCGAGTACATTTTTAAAAACATCACATTTAAATTAATATTCTTAAAAAATAACTATTAAATTTAAAATTTTAATCATAAAGTTTACGTATATTAATTTTTATATTAATTTAATATACCAACAATTCATAAATTACATAAAATTTAACACTTTTAAAATTTTAACATAAAATAAACCTACATAATAAATTTAATAGTTTACCATCAAATCTAACAACTTAAAGTTAAGTGATTTAAAACTCAACTTTCACTCACAATTTGAAAAAAAAAAAAAAAA